AATATGAGAAATAAGGATCTATAACAAATAATTATCGTATTTTACTGAAAAGTTCATTACGCCTACTTGATGCTATTATATTAAAAAAAAAAAACTAAAAGGCCGTGCCTCGGGCTAATACTCTTTCGATTATAGCAATGTCAGTTGGGCTACTCTGGCTCTCAACGCCTTGTATGAATGACAACTTTAAGGCAAAAAATTACAATTTTTTAATTGGAAATTGCTTTTTTTGACGTCAGAATTCTTAATAACTCTCAATGTATAACAATTCACAATTTAAATCATTTCTTTTTTTTTTGGTCGAAGATGTTACGGGTTTCTTCCATTTAAAAATAAATTATTGGTGTTAATAGAAATATAAACAAATAGATGGTTTAAACGGTTTTTGTAAAAGAATAAAATAGTTTTTATAAACAATAATTGAAATTATATATCAAAAAAATTAATTGTTAAAACAGGTGGTACACTTATAATTTTGACCGGGGTGTATATACGCAAAAACATACCCAAATCTGGTTCATCTCTTGATATTTCATTCATAAAAAAATTAAATACAGAAAATTTTACTAATTTTCTATGTTAATAGATATATACCTAGGTAAGGCCTTATTAAAGTCTGCTTTATTTTGCATAAATTTGGGTGCTGTACTTTAATTACTATATAGTTTTCCTTGAAGTTTTACTTGAACTGCATTTTCTTTTAATTATAAAACAAACCCAATTTTATATAGACAACTCAAAAGCTGTTACAACAACTTTTATTAAAAATTAAATTTTCATGTTTTTAAATACACTTTTTTTATTTTCATGAACTGGCAGATGAACAATTTTAAATTATGCTCTTGCGATTAGAATTTGTGTGTAAAAATTTTACTTTTTCTCGAATTCTTTAAATATGTTGTATGACGCTATATTTTATTTAAATTGTTTTTAATATTTCACATTTCCTTTAAATTAGTACAAATTTTGTTTATTACATTTTTATATAAAAATGTATGTTTAACCCAATTTACACTCACTTTTAATGCCTTCAATGTTTTTTTTTTGCTCAATATTTGTTAAAGAGTGTTTTTAACTATTCAATGCAACAACGCAACCGTTACCATCGAAT